ATTCAAATTATCCTAATTTAAAAAATCGTTTGTGTATATATTTATCCGGAATACTAGTTAATGGAAGTTGGACTTCTTGGCCCAAATGATATGATATCTCCAGTCCAGTTGTTGCAGTTCCAAAAATTATCTGTACAGAAATTTACAAAATGAAAAGTATACATAGGAAATTACTAAATATGAACCTAATCTTGTATTTGATGTTATGGTTTGTTTAAAACCGAAGCTAGATATATATATATATATATATATATATATATATATATATATATATATATATATATATATATATATATATATATATATTCATCACGCTTAAGTAATGGCACCACTAGCTTAAAAAAAATAAAGCGTTATCTTTTGACCGTTTTCATCTTCCCACACGAAGAACCCTCATCAAGAGTGAGTATTTTGGGATAATTCAGTATCTGCTAACATTCTGTATCGGGAGTGACACATTTATTTTAGTATTTTCTTCTAACCTCAATGCCATCTTTGTTGATAAAACAACCCAATGCCCTCGCGAACCCTGAAACGCTGATATTGCGTTAGACGTGGCAACGTCCCCCTTGATCACATTTTATAGACGTGACTGACCGCCCCGACGGCGCCTGTTTTTCAGACATGCGTTGCGCGAAGCAGTTAGTTGACTACGACCACCCTTAATAATAGGCACGTGAATTTCGTCCTATCTCTAAAAACCCCCTTTTCCCACTTAATACCAATCTACAAGTTGGTGTGGCGATCGGTCCGCTTCTCAAAAGGTTTTTTCTAAGGAAGTTAGTTTTCGTTTAACGCGAGTCTCGTAATTGTGAGTAATCGCGAGTAAAACTTCGTAGTGTTTTGATTTTGAGTATAGTTCGTGTTGTGCTAAACGGCTATCATTTAAAATAAACTAGCCCCGCAAGAATACAGTCCACACCCCCAACAAATCAACCCGTTAGATGGTGGTGAAGCAAGGATACGTTTCTCCCCCAATCTTCTTCCTTTCTTCTAGCAATTGCGTTTGGGTGGTGGCTTTTCGCCCGCGGGTAGTTCTAATGCACCTATTCTGTCAGCGCCATCTGCGGATACTGCTAAAACTTCTGCAGGAATGTTATGGATCTGGTTTATATATTGGTTCTTTAGTGGGCTATTATCAGGACCAGGGGACGGCATAGCGTTTTACCTCCTCAATAATTTTTCCGAGAGGAAACCTGCCTTTTCTTTCCAAAGACCACAATTTTCTTCAAATAACTTATTTTTATGCTCCATTTGTTGGCACTGATTTCAAATACATAATTTCCATGTAATTGGCCACTTTCACGCCATTTTTGGCACTAGACAATGTCGATTTGTAAACGCAACTCTATATTCTTTTAGCCGCCGCTTGTTATAAACAGGAAATATGGAAGTTTTTAGTGCACTTTATACATTATTCTGGAAATTCAACAACATTTCTACAATGACAACACACTATTTACTGATTTTCTTCATTTTTTTCATACTCCGAATTTATACGGGCAGGTTCAATAGTCACCATCTTATTACTTTATTTATGTTGACCTGTGGAATTGTCTCGTCAATGGGTATAATAATAATAATAAATAATAAATAGCTTAATTGCTCTAGCCATTAGTAACAAATTTAAAATATTAACTCTCGAATTAAATTTAATGACAAAGGGCTAAGAAGGCTCGACATCTGTCACAGCCCAAAATTGAGCATAAAATTAACAGGCAGATTCACAATGACACAACGCTTGAAATGGCCATGGGAGGGAATTAATAACAAGATAATTTAATTGTGTATTCACCCTGCGTAAAATGTCCATCACATCTCGTCGAACTTCAAAGTTAAGCAAACATCGGTAAATATTATAATTTGCACAAATAATAGCGTTGTCGAATGATAGTTTTTTTCAAATATCTCGCGCCCTGTATGACTGACGAAACCTGAAACTCTCTCACGATACAGTTTACGATACTGTTCCAATAAAATTATCCCATCTTTAACGGTTTATCATTTATTGCCAATAATTTACCCACAAAAACGGAAATTTTTAGGATATTTTAGATTTTTTGCCCATAAACGACATGAACTGTATATCATACAATCATTGTTCGAAGTAGAGGTTATAGCCCTGAATTTTCGGCGCGTCCTGGTTCAAGAATTTTTTGAAAATAGTAAATGGTTTTCGAGAAAACATTTTTTTCCTGAAACCATGCCGTGCGTCGTAATAATCAATGATAACGATTTCAATATGAATTTTTTCAAATATCCCGAGAAGACGAAAACCGCAAATTCAAAAATTGTAGCTCTTGATGCGGCCTATGACACCGTTTGAACCAATTTTTTACGATTTTTGATTTGCGGCTAATGATTCACAGAATTTATAGAAGAACAATCTTCTTACGATTTTTGATTTGCGGCTAATGATTCACAGAATTTATAGAAGAACAATCTTCTAGGTCTTTTAGATTGTTGCCTATAATTTGAAAACCCTGTATATACTCGAAAAAATGCCCGAAATAAATGTTATTGCACTGGATCTTCGGCGCCGGTAAAAGAAATGTTGCCGATCGGGTGAACGGTTATGAAGGAAAACATATTTTTCTGGAAGCTAAAATTACCAAAAAAAAATTTCCAAAATTATAAAAAAATACTTGGTAAAATTTGATTGCGCCCAATATCTACCGTATAAATGTGGACACGGACTTTTATTTCTCTGCTAAATTTGAAGTTGATAATAGGTGAAAACTTTAAATGCAAAAGTTTTTGCTGTCTATGCGGGCCGTATCGTATTATAAAAGAAAGTGAGATCTGAATCATAGTCTTTTAGTTATAACCAATTTTAAATAATAGGGGGACCCATTTTTCAGTTTTTTGAATTTTGCGGTGAACCCTGTATATTTGTCAAAAATTGTCAAGAATAAATGTTGATAGAGTTTTATCTTCTGCTTCTTCTGGTTCACGAATTTTTATGGTGTCGTAAACAGTTTTTGAAAAATCATGATTCAAATCAAAATTTGTTTTTTAGAATACTTCCCGACCCCCAGCCCCCACTATTTTCAATAGTTTCCGTCACGGGGCCAAGCTGCATATATGTATATTTGGCACATATATGCAGCTTGGAACTCGATTGCTTCAAATTTCCGCCACTTATCGTGTTTCATAGCATGGTCCAAAAAACAGTCGAAAATCATGGATATTTCTTATAAGCTTATGTGCCTAGTGGAGGGTTAAAGAGGAAGCAAATTTCAATTTTGTAGCTCCAACGGTTTGAAAGTTATTCAGGAAAAACCACAAGATGAGAACGAAGAACGAACGGACAGAAAAAAAATGTTTTTTTTCTACCGTGATCATTTCTGTACCAACGGCGATCCCATAAGACCTACCATTACCGAGATATACATTTTTATACAGATAATTTCGAAAAATTCGATTTCATCGATTTTCAAAAGTAACAAGGAAGGGTTTAAGTAAAGGTTTAATTAGGAAGAAACGATAATGCGATCTTGCTAGCATGTATTATTACTAATTCAAAAGGCAATTCTTTAACTTATTTTTCAGGGCTAATGCTCTTTTCAATCCTGTGGCACAGTAAGAAGACGCCGTCTGATTTTTTAGCACAGACAGCGCGGTGTCGCACACTGTGCATATTCAACCAGCCTGACGTACCTAGAAATGGTGAAAGATGAGTTCTACGTCCAATTCCATATACAAGTCTAAGACAGCAGTTTTACACCTTTTGAATACTTCCCTGTATTATCTAGACAAGGCATGAATACGTTGTTACATTGGTTAAACTGATTAACGTGATCTCTAAATTTTAGTAGAGAAAATAGAGCAACTTTTGAAACTGCTACAGAGCTCTTTATTAAAATGTTTACGTTGTTTTTAATATTACCAATTTAAGTGTCATTTTCAAATATTGAGTATATGTTGAGCGACATGCTTGTCAAACACATTCAGTACATAATCATGAAAAGTGAGATTTTCTCATCAATACTACTTGCATAAAGAAGGTTGTGCCAAGGTATACTCAAGATTTTGTTCAGATTTGTGCATATGTAATTTACTTATTTATTTACTTAATCAAATTCACAACGATATTGATAGCCAAAAAAAGGTATATATGTTTCGTCAACAGGCTTACAAATAAATACAATACAGAAACAATAGAAAAAAGACGAAATATATTATATGAAAATTTCTTCCCTTTCAGTTGTTGTGAAAAGTCCTCCAAGGCGTATATTTCTTTACTTGCTAATTGGTAATAAGTCTAATAGAGTCTGACAAGTGACTATAAAATTTAATTACATTACATGGGTAGTTGCCATGGTTCTTAGGTAATATAATTTTCAACTTTAGCAGATGTCAAATGTTCTGTACTTTTTTTATAACATAAGTGGCAAAACATATAATGAAATCAAAATATCTTTGTCCCCGTGCGAAGGTCTCTACAGGAAAAGGTACTCTTTCTAAATGTTATTGTTCTTTGTTTTTCTGCAATCCGGTGTGCACACTGTTAACATGTGCCTAATAAAAGGATAGTACAACCTCTCTATTTTCCTCGGTTTCCACAACATAAAAGACTAAGTAATTTTGTTAGTTGTCAGCTTTTCACCCCAAAAGCGATATCATCTCCAAACAATGAATAAAAATTAGAGAAATAGAGAGAATGCTTGAGTTACTCTCTGACGTTAACATTTAAACTACATAAAAGAAACCCAAATGGTTACCAAATACGACGTTGGGATAGGTAAAGATATAGTCGAAAGTCACTCGTTTATGAAATAATATAATCCAGAAAGCAAAACTTTAAGAACAGAATATTTTGCAGTTTAGCGTCATACTGTGTAAAATGTAAAATAACAAACACAGTTTTGGTTTATTTAAAAGCAATAAACCATAAGAAACGCTTAAAGTAAACGTGGGAAGACTCACCGCCCTATTCATCTACCACTACACACACGGTGGAAAAAAGGTACAAAACTAATGGTTTATTCGGTGGGATCCATTGTTTTTGGGTCATTTATCACATGTTTATTGCCGGCAGAACGAAGATCCACGTACCAATCATTAATCTTATTCCCCCCGATACAAGCTGCGGAATAAAAGTGACAAATTGTTTAGTTACCTTGCGGTGCGGCCTTGGCGAAAATCACAATGGGGGTTGTTTGCCGAACAATAAAGCCTCTCGTTAGCTTCGATTAGAGTAATTTAACATTTTACATTCAGTTGAATTAGTTGTGTTTATTGAATGCCAGTTCGTATTTTTGCACGCTTAATGGATTATGTTCAGATTTTTGCCATTCCTTAAAAACCATCTGTTTCAATTGAGATAATCTCAAGGTGGTATGTTCTCTCTTTAATTCTGAGAGTCTCTTCTCCTCAAAAGCCAGGTAAGCAGCCTTCAATCTTTTTTCGGGATGCATGTCTAGGGCGCCAGCAGTGCTTCCTAACAAACGAAGAGCTTGATCAATTCCTCTAGCCTCTTCACCGTAAATTTGAAGTCTGTTCAAATTCTCTTCTAGTGGCGCAATTTTTTCTTGCGCAGGTACCACCCTTTTAGCACATGTCTGAGCTTTGGTAATCTTCGTGGGTTTACGTGTTTCCATAGCATCCGTTTCCTTTAGAAGCAAAGCTTTCGCTTCGGCCCTTCGTTGTAATTGGTCTTGGCGTTTACGATCTTCTAAATCTTTCTTCCGGCACTTCTTCGTGGTTTGTTGATCGACATTTTCCCATTTCGCGTCTTCCAATTCCTTTTCTTTTAATTGGTCAGCTTTCTCTTTGGCTGCATTCTTTCTTGTGTTTGACAGTGCCGCTTTGGAGTTGTGGCCGCTAAATTTTTTCGGCATTGGGAAATTATACCTGGAGTTTTGACGATGTTCTCTGTTTGTCGATTTGACGTTACTGTTTGGTCAACGAGACCCTACTAACTGACTTGTGGCGAAAATCGCAAAACATGACAATTACGTCACATCCCCAGGTTATGTTATATTATGTATGTTAGTAGGTTAATGTTTGTCTAAAATATTTTTAGTTTCTTTATATTTCTCGATTTTATTGCATTGTGTACTTAATAATTTTGGCTTAAAGGTAAAGTTCATCTAGTCATGGGAGTTTCATTCTAAAAGTATCCTAGCGTAAGATCCTTGTAGCATTACCTTTCATTATTATTGGATAACAATTCTAAACCATTAAAATATTTTAATGAATTTAAATTTATTTTGGGCAGAAAAGCTATGTGTTGAGTTTTTCATAGGAATATCACGAGTTTTTAAAATGCGTTTTATTATAAACAATAAATTACTTTTAGTTAGCAGGTATCCCTAACCTAATTCGCTCTAAATGTTCTTAAAGCTCGGTCACTAAGTTCACTTTCGGTATCACTTTCTGAATCCAGTGAAATTATTATGGACTCTATTTCATTAAAAATGGTTTTGTTATGCCACTGTAAAATAATCTCATTGGTATGTTCAACACAGCTATTCAAAACCTCTGGTGTACCTTGTACTAGACCTGTTCCGATATGTCTATCATAATACTGTTTAGCGTGCTACCATGTTAACTCAATGGCATTAAATTCAACACTGATTTTGACCTCGAACAAAACATGAATCTTGATCCATCAACAAATCATTTTTCGCTCCCTGCATGGACAATAAATAAATTGCTTAAAAGTTGTGGTCTTCTTACACTTTTATTCAATAATCTTGCCAAGACGTTTTTGCATTCATTTAGGAAAGTATCCCCGTTTCGTCTATAAAAGTAACTTGTCTAGAGGGGGAATTGACATAATCGTAATTTATTAAAAGTTTAATAAATTAATATATGGTATCGCACAAGGCAGTCAGTATACTAGGACCAATTTTATTTTGAATATATATAAATGACATCTATTCGATTACAGGACTAAATAGTGAAAGCATTGTGTGTTATGCAGACGACACATACTTGTGGGAGGTACAGATATTACACAGGTTCTGAACAATGGTAGTAAGTTGTTTGGAAAAGCAGACAATTGGTTTAAAAAAAAACAAAGTAATTTTAAATAGAGGTAAGTCACACGCTATTTTGTATCGAACAAAACAGTCTAAATTGCGTAAACCACCCTATTTGGAATGTGATAAGCTTATTATCGGTATAGCAGATAATGTAAAGTTTTTAGAAGTAAATATAGATGAACTTGTGGACTGGAATAAGCATATTGTTCATTGGTTTTATTCTTCTTTTTCTTCATCTGGTTTGGCTTGGCTATCATATGGACTATCAACGGAGCTGGAGCGTACTGCGAGACAACGGGATCAAGCTTGTAGGTCCCTCTGGGTCAGTACTGCACTGTGTTTCAGGCGGAAATTTTCGCTTTATTGATGGCGGCCAGAGAGGTGCTTCGGCTCAACTACGGAAGCAGGAGAGTCTTCTTCTGCTCGGATAGTAGGGCTGCACTCATGGCGCTGAAGTCAGTGCGTACGCGCTCCTTGTTGAAAAAGGAGTGCAAAGGGGTACTGAGGAGGGTGGCTGAGGAGAGAAAGGTCACGTTGGTCTGGGTCCCGGGTCACACCGGTATCCGGGGCAATGAGGCAGCGGATGCCTTAGCCAGGGAGGGCTCCTCGCATAGGCATATAGGGCCAGAGCCCCGCTTGGGGATCGCCCCGTGTGTTAGGCGGGGAGCTCTCGAAGCCTGGGCGAGAGACCGGGCCGCGGGGGGCTGGAGAGTTGCTCCGGGAATGAGGCAGGCGAGGCTTATGATGGATGGGCCCGCCTTTCCTCTGACCAGGGAGCTGCTTAGACTGACCAGAAGGGAGTGTAGAGCACTAACAGGGGCCTACACAGGACATTGCAGGCTTAGGAGGCATCTTTGCTTACTAGGCATTGGAGACGACCCGGAGTGTAGGTGGTGCATGGAAGGGGAGGAGACCCCGTATCATCTGCTCACCGAGTGCCCTGCCTTGACATGGGCAAGATTGGGAGTCTTCGGAACGGCCCTGATCGGTCCGGACTCAGTGCACAGTATTGGGCTAAAGGAGTTGCTGACCTTCTATAGGAGGGGCGGCATTCTGGACGCCCTCTAGAGCGGCCTGGGGGCACAACGTCTATATTTATGAGTCACATATTTTCTTTTTTAAAAACCAGAAATATTTTGAATTGCATGTATCATCTCATGCGTACAACACTAGAACGCGAAATGTAAATTACCCAATACAAAGATTAACTCTAACTGATAAGAGTCCGTACTATATGTGTAGAAGATTTTATAACAAATTGCCCAACAGTTTAAAAGAAATAAATAGTTCGACAAAATTTAAAAGAAATATTAGGACGCTTCTGATAGAATTAGAACCCTACTCAATAAATGACTATTTTGAGAAAATAATCTAAGAATTTTTATATGTTATGGTTAATTGTATAGTATCTGTAGGTATTAGACGCTATTTCCGTTGTGATTTTGTATTTTGTAATATACTAACACAATTTGAAATAAAGAAATGAAACGTGGGTATGCTCCACAAGATATCGTAGGTAACCATCTTTTATGAATTAAAAACCTATAGCTGATAAAAATCAAGTTCTTGTTCTTTAAATTTACTATTGTGACGTTTTCCTTAAAAAAATGATTAACTACATCAGTTAAATCAGTCGTCTTGATCTTGAGGTTCTTCTTTCCTGGTGACTTTATTACGTTATCATCGGATCTTAAACGCTTTTTTATCTTCCAACAGTGGATAGAAAAATAATTAGTGTCTGAACTAGCCGCTGGAAAATTGGAAAGAAGGCAGTGGTAACAAAATTCTTCCATTATCATTTTTCGTGTTGAACATAATTTAGCAAAGATTTACCTTTCATAGCAAAAACTTGTTTAACTAAAAATCAAAAATATCGGTTAGTTTCAAACCATGTATACGTTTTAAGACACAAATATAAACATTTAAAATAAATAAGAACTAAAAGTACAGATTTTCACGAAATTATATATATGTATGTATGTATGTATATATAATGTATTATTTACAAACTACCTGCTACTATATATACCGAAAAATGACTATAAAATCATAATTAATGTTCTGACAATTTAAGTTCAATGTAAGAAAGGTATTTAAATCTAATTGATCGTTAAGCAATACATTTTGTTAATCTCCATGGCTTCCAATAAATTTAATTTTCTACTTTTTGTGGCTGTATGTAAAATATTAAAATTGTCGTCAAAAATGGGTTTCCTGTGTTTAAGTGTAGACTATTATCTTATTATTATATATTATTTTATGTTCGTTAATGCATTTCTTGAAGGATCTACTTGTTTGAGCAATATAAATTTTAGGACAAGATCTGCATTTCAACCTGTAGACATTTGATTTTTGGGGTTTTGGACATTTGGTTTTATTGTTTTTTAAAAATTTTCCTATTATGTTGTTAGTTCCGAAAGCTATTTTTAATCCACATTTTGAAAAATGTTTTAAAACATTTTCACTGGGTTCTCCTACGTATGCAATTGTTTTCAATTGTCCGTGTTCTGTATTAGGTTTCGGATAAATAGAGTTTACTGTTGTTTGGATTTGTGTTTTATTTATAATTTTATCTATAATGGACGGATTGTAGCCGTTGTTCAGTGCAATTTGTTTAATGATATTAAGTTCTTTGTTGTAATTTTCTGTTGAGAGTGGCGTATTAAGGAGTCTGTGTACAAAAGAGTGAAACGCAGCCATTTTGTGTGTATAAGGGTGATTTGAGCTGTTATGTATGACTGTGTCCTTGTGTGAAGGTTTATGGTAAATGGAAAAATCCAATTTGTTTTGCCTTTTCGTAATAGTTACGTCTAAGAAATTAATATAGTTATCCTGTTCAATGTCGATAGTGAATTTTGTACGATTATGTTATGAGCCAATGTAATTTAAAAAAAAAATCAATTGTCTGTCCGTTCCAACAAAGCAAGCAAAGACATCATAGAAAACTTTTACTTAAAGGATGTTCTAGTATGATATTTTTCAAACTATTCATAAAGTTGAAACAATTGTCATGTAAATATATATAGTTTCGTGGAAATCTGAACTTTTAGTTCTTATTTATTTTGTTAAATGGATTTTCATCAAATAAAAGCCACCTCAGTTCAATAAATATTCAAACTTTTATGCACATTTGTACTGTAACAATCCTGTTATAAATTTCAGAATACCAAAAAATGCATCATAAAACAAATGGTGTCAAAAAACATCACAGAAAGCCAAGTACGGTTGACTAAAAGTCAATATTTTGAAAATAAAAGAACTTCGTAAGGTATATTTGGGTCATGTTTAGACGATATTTATAATTTAATATATTTTTAAGATGTTCAACTTTTTTAAAAGATTTACAGAAGAAGTAAGTTTAAAATGTGTTTAAATATTGGAAAAATAAAACATTGTTGCGCTTATTTACTTGCCACGTAAGTACCTTAATTGTTATGCTGACAAAGAATTTCTGTTTTGAAAAAAGCAGATAACAAACAATACACGAGCCTACCAAAGACCATAAACTTTCAACTTTCTAGCTATCTACCTGATAGCAGTTAAACATTAAAAGTTTTGAATATGTTACCTTTACTGGAAAACAATATACTAACGAAATTGTCTTCTTTTAGGGCATATTAAAAAGTTATTTTGGGACTGTACTATAACAACTTAGTTGGATACCCACCATTTCTTCATTTCCTTAAATGTAATCTTTTCTATGAAATAAAATAAAGAAATAAAGACTCTTTATTAATATTATTAATATCTGTCTCAGATTTCTCTGCTTTGAAAGTATTGGTTATGTGATATTGGTAGAGAGGAGCTTCCTCAGTATCACATCACCAATACCTGCCAAGCAGAGAAATCTAAGACCGATAAAAATAATAATAGCAACAATAATAATAACAACAATAATAATAATATTTAAAGTAAAAA